AAGTTTCAAATTGTATTATACACAAGCTTGAAACTACATGATCTCATTTCATTGCAACAGTAAGTTAACTGAAAGTGGTTTTATTTCTTAAGATTTTATAAATGATCTCAATCACTGTGGTCTTTTTACTATTTGTGAATTGTTCATAATGGTCTCATTAAATCTACAAATGTATATACAAGAGAGTTGGTCATTTCTTTAAAATGTATGAAGAAAAATGCTCATCCAAATATGAAATAGCAATGTCAGTCATGAAGATGCCATGATTCATAATGAAAAAGAACCCTCATTTATTGAATGCTATTATGCCTGCAGCTGCAGCATTCTTCACACCTAAGCTTTTTTTCCCCTCAAGTCATCCATGTTAATAATTGACATTATTACAGTAATCTCAGATATGAAATTAGCCAAGATCAATGGCCTATCTTTTGACTAACTCTTTCTTATAGTTAACTAGAGGCCCGGTTCATGAAATTTGTATACTGGGGGGAGGGGGTCCCTCTCAGCCAGGCCTGCACCCTCTCCAATCCAGGACCCCTCGGGGGATGTCCGACTGCCAGTTTAGGCCCGATCTGCAATCCAGGACCACTGGCTCCTAACCACTCACCTGCCTGCCTGCCTGATCACCCCTAACCACTCTGCCCACCTGCCTGATCACCCCTAACCCCTCTTCCTGCCTGCCTGATCACCCCTAACCACTCTCCCCTGCCTGCCTGATCACCCCTAACCACCTCTGCCTCAGCCCTGCCACCGTGGCTTTGTCCAGAAGGATGTCCGGAAGACATCCAGTCTATCCGGTCTAATGAGCATATTACCCTTTTATTAGCATAGATGGCTCATCAAAGACATTCTCAAACAAAGACGTAAGTTTGTGTGATACATTGGCAAAGTATCATATAAAAGATATATATATGTAAAGGACTATTTTTCTGAACAACAATAGCAAGAATGAGCTCATAGATTCTCTAATCCCTACAATAATATAATTTAGAAATCAAAAATTCCTTTCAGAGGCACAGAGTAAATTGGCAAAATGTTTCTTTAAAAAAAATACAATTTGTACAATTAACCTTTTATGCATGAAAACATTATGGAAAATATTTCATAAGAGGGTAAGAAAATTAGCACCTTTTATTTGCCACTGTCTGACAAAAGATTTTTTTTTTCTTTGCCTGTTACCTTCCTAGTTTTTCATCACGTAGGTTACATTGATATTAAAGAACTATATTCACAGTGAACATGCAGTTCTGTTTTATTTTTAGTTTATATAATTCTGGGTAACATTCATCCCTGCTCTTATATGGGCTCCATTCACCCACTTGCCCAGGATGGCACATGGAGTCATCATAACTTCCTTACTTCCTCTGGCCACATCTGGTGAGTCCCTCATTCTGTCAGGCTCACTTACTTAGCATCTCTCATATCAGACTTTCCTCTCCATTTCCTTACTTCCTTCAGGCACTCATCTTCTCTCTCCCTGATCACTGCCGCTCCCTGCCTGCCTGATCACCCCTAACCACTCTCCCCTGTTGGCCTGATTGCCCTTAACCGCTCTGCCTGCCTGCCTGATCACCCCTAACCGCCTCTGCCTCGGCCCTGCCACCGTGGCTTTCCCACCCATTCCTCCTGTACAGTGCTATCAGCGTGATCTTTCTACAGCCACTCCCATTGCTAAAGAGTTTTATTTTACCACATCTAACTGCATGCAGGTTTTGTGCCGTCTCTATCACATTATTGATAGATACAAACTTAAATGCCAGCATCATTGCTAGGAACTTTCTCTGAGAATGTGACATCTTCCACATGTCAGCACTTCTTCTTTGCCTTTAGAAAGAAGATGGTATATGCAACAATGTATCAGGAACAAAACACACATACACACATAATGATAATACTGAAGGAGAAAAAATAAGGGTGACTTCTCTTAATTATAATTACAGGCACCTCTTCATAAATTCTCTTAAGAGAGGTGAAAAAAGTTGTTTGTGTTTCTCAAACAAATTCACTGGCAATCTAGCATTTATGTTAACTAAATTTTGACTAAGGCAAAATTTGAGTTTACCTTTTTTATTTTGGGAATTGTTTTGATGATCAAAAAACACCAACTGTTAACCTTGTAATAATTTAAGATCGTTAAGATGCATTATGGTTTATAAAGTTCCACTGTATTATTTTCTTTAATCATAAGCAACCCTATAAGACAGAAAGGTGTTGTCCCCATTTTACAGAAAACTGAGTCCATTGACCTGGCCATGGTCACAAAGCTGCTATACTGACTTGGGTCCAAGATTTCTCATTCCAGATCTCTGCACTAATTCACAGATTCTGAGCTGCTTACACACACACACACACACACACACACACACACCTTGTGATTTGCATGAAATAGAAGTAATAACAAAGAAACACTTAAAACGAAGCTATATAATGTAGTTATTTTTATTGCTCCTGATAATGTTATAGAACCACCTTTTTACCTATTTTCATGTCCTGTCTAGTGTCGTTTTTCTTATACCTCACTGCTTAAATGTTGCATTTTCCAAGCATATGAATAGAAAATGTCCAGCTGCCCAAAAAGAGCAGATTGATATAATACGAGCTCTTTGTTTGCTCACAGAATAGGCACAAGTTGTGCCCTGCCAGCTGCTTTGTCCACAGTCTGAACCTTGTTCTGTAAGAACCACCTGTATGACTGGCTGTATAATTAATTCCATGCTCCGGTTTAGCCTGGGGATCTTCTATTAATATTAAATCAGATACTGCCTCTGAGTGCGAACAACATACCACTCTCCGAATTAGATTTGGACCACTGAGGCCAGGTGGACATGGACCTCAAAACACTGCATTTAGGAGGAGTATCATTTATTGGAAGCTTCTTATATGAAACTGTTCTGGCAGAGAAATGTTTTAGTGCTGCAGTCAGGATACCCAAGTATTGAATCCATGAGCATTAGTACTCAGAGTGTTAAGACTTAAAGAATTGCCCTGTCTCACTCATTTCATTTCAGATAGCAAATTGCTCTAAGATGAGAGTGTAGAGGCCAGATTACATCCCTTTTTCTTGGGGGGGCGGCAGGGGAGAGGAGTGATTCATAAAAGACATCTATCCAGAAAAATGGACTTATTAACATTGGAAACTGATCCCAGGGTCACTTGAAGATCCAGCAGAAACTTTGGTAGTGCCTTAGAGATCAAAGAAGACAAGCCTATGACTCAATGCTGAGAGTCTTTTGTATCTAGTAATTGTCGCCCGAGGTTTGCGCTCAACTTTAAGGACAGTCATTTTCAGGACTCTTAGAAGCCACTAGGCGTTCCAATGCCTAACAACTGGCAATAATCAGACAATATGTCAACTAAAACTTGGAAGCTCATATTATTTAAATAAAGTCTTCATTCTTTAATCAGCACAGTCATTAAGGGGAGTTTACATATGTGCTTTCCTCCTAGTCAAACAATAATAATCACCTCCTCGTCCCCTGATGAAATTACACCTTATTTGAACATGGGCTGAGCGTGTTGTTGCAGGAGAAAGAGGAAGAGACAGTGTTGAGTTTTCCTAAACATTTCCAGCTCCATCTGTTGACAGAACCTTGAGATATTTGGAAGCTGGGCTTCTGCTGCCTACAGTAACAGTTGTTCCACGGGAAATGTAATTGTGAGTGGGGTATGACACCGGACTGTTAAACTGCGTTCCAAGTGACCTTATCTCCATTACTTACTATCAACACTTGGCTCATGACCTTGAAGACATCACTTGTTCCCACTCAGTCAGAAGCAGCAGCCAGAGGACAAGCGAGCGAAGCCACGTTGTGACAGAAAGTGAGGGAGCCGCTTTCCGTCGCTCCCTACCGCAGAGCATTCTCTGTTTCTAAATTGTTTAAATTTGGTGTGCAGGGGATTGCTTCCTGACCCTGGTGTGCTTCCTACATCTGTTTAGTCTTAAATGCTTCCTAAAATATTTTTCAAAATCCACTCGTGATTTCCTAATCCTTCTTAATACACGGACTGCTTCACATGCAACTCTTCCTCTTTTAAATCCCAGCTTTGAAAAATGCAAACAAATGGGTGAGCCTTAAGAACGGATTGGGGAAGAGATGAGTGGGGGCCGTCAGAAGCCTAGCAGAGGGATGGCGGTTCTATTGTTCATGCACCTTACAGAAATTTTTCATTGTTTGTCTGTCTGGTCGCTTCAACAAGAAAAGTGAAGATGTTGTCATTACAGCTGCTGTTTGTGTTGGATTCGGGGGAAATAAATGTATTGCACTCCCTCTGCTGGCTCTGAAGTTGCAACACCTCATTAACCAGATCTATATTTAGATGTCTTTTCCCATTTGAGAGAAAAAAAAAATGGTGTGTGGAAAAAAGGAAGCAAAAGCTGGGAATGTTGTTAATTTTATTATTCATTTAAAATGTCAGGAAAAACAAACATCTGCCCAGTGCCAATGGTTAGGGTGAGCAAGAAAGCCAGCAGTTTTTAGGCCTTCCAGCGCTGGAACAGCCTTTACAAATCACTCCGTTCCTTTCAAATACTGAAACAATCTTTTCCCAGAGCTTAATAAACAAACCAGTGGATTAGCATGCTCAGTATGTTCAAAACAGTCTGAGGGACAAACACAAAGGCATGTATTTGGCTTGGGGCAGGAGGGAGAGGAGAGGGTGTCTTTCACTTGGTGTCAGAAAGGAAAACTAAAAGATCCTCACCTGAATCTTTATACCTCCGGGGAGGCCACTCCAGGCATGAAAGCATGCTACCCACAAGCCTGGAAGAGAACCAAGCACCATGGAATTTTCCAGCCGAGGGGACCTAAGAAGCAATGGCTCTCCTCTTGAGTGAGAAAGAGAGCTTAGCAAGAGAGCAAAATGCTCCAGACATCCGAGGACCAGGAGGGCCCCGGGGCCCGTTTTATTCATGTTAATCAGCATACGGAGGGTTTTCTTGCAAAGCCCGTGTTTGCCTGGGCTCTGCTCTCTTCTCCATTCTTGCTTGCTCTCTTCCCCAGGCGGCTGGATGCCAACCACATCAGCTACGTTCCCCCCAGCTGTTTCAGCGGCCTGCATTCGCTGAGGCACCTGTGGCTGGATGACAACGCTCTGACGGAAATCCCTGTCCAGGCTTTCAGAAGTTTATCAGCACTGCAGGCCATGACCTTGGCCCTGAACAAAATACACCACATACCAGACTATGCCTTTGGAAACCTCTCCAGCTTGGTAGTTCTGTAAGTTCTATTGATTTTTTTTTCTCTCTCTCTCCCTTTTAACAATTTCTAAATTCACTCTAAGACCTTGACCTTAAAATGCTGGCCCTTCAAACCTTGAATAGGGACATTTTAAGGGTGGAAAACCCCCTGAATCCCTCCCCAAAATGACTCATAAGTGTTCTAATTGTATAAAAGAATGAAACAACATTTATGGAACACCTGCTAAGTGCCAAGTACTGTTGGGCATTCAAAGATAATAAAATATGACCTCTGCCCATTGTATATTGTACAAGTAACCACCACACTGTACAATTAGTAAAAAATGCCTTATTTCTGATAATAACTTATAATTCAGGTCAAATTGAAATATGCCATTCTTATCTATATATATAAAAGCCTAAGCAACCGTTAGGACCGAATGACTGGAACAACCGGAACAACCAGCGGGCCAGTTGTTATGACATGCACTGACCACCAGGGGGCAGATGCTCAATGCAGGAGCTGCCCCCTGGTGGTCAGTGCACTCCCACAGCCAACCTCCCGCAGCCCCTCCCGCTGGCTGGCCAGCCCCCCAAATCAGCCCTGAAGGGGGGGCTGGCTGGCCCACCTCCTGGGGTCCCTATCCCCAACCGGTCCCCCCCCTCATAAACCTCGATCGCTGGCCAGGCTGAGGACCCCACCTGTGCACAAATTCATGCACCGGGCCTCTAGTTATTTAATAAATACTCTTGGTGTAGCTAGTTTGGCTTAATGGATAGAGCATAGGCCCATGGACTGAAGGGTATGGGTTCAATTCCAGTCAAGGGCATGTATCTTAGTTGCAGGCTCAATCCCCAGCCCTGGTTGGGGCACATGTGGGAGGCAGACCAATCTATGTCTCTCTCACATGAATGTTTCTCTATATATATCTCTCCCCCTCCCTTCCACTTTCTCTAAAAATCAATGGAAAAATATCCTTGGGTGAGGATTAACAAATAAATAAATACTCCTGAATCCCTACCAAGGAAAGAGAAGCAAGAATGAACCTGAGAGTGAGCTATGCATGTCTATACCTCCCCACCCATAGGTCTAGGTTCCATTGTTTTAGTAAATCAAAATGACTCTCAAGTAATAGTTTGAAAAATAACCAGTCTTCTGTAAGAGTGTAGAAATATGCCCCATGTATATAAAATATCAGTTGATGCTGATAGAGGAAAATAGCAGCTGCTTGCAAGGCTGTAAGATCAGTTTGTAGAAGAACCTGGACCAAGGTCTCTTCTGCACTATTTCTCCCTTCACTTCTCACCCACCCACCCGCCCACCCCTGCCTCCAATCATTCCACTTTACTTGACGGCATGTCTGTCTTTTGCATTGTATACTACTTTGAAAGCTCACCAGCTTTTTATTCATGTTTTTAGATTCCCCTCAATCCCTTTCCCCATGTGTTGCATGTAGGAGATCCTCAATAAATATTACATATATCTCATATGAACCCAACACATATATATTAGAATAAGAACCTTAGCCTGAAAGAATAACAAATTTTGGGTGATATTAACATCTTTCTAAACTGAATTTTGCTTACAAACACATGCCAGAAGCTGGATAGGTGCTTTGTTTTCTCTTCCACTAGAGCAGTGGTTTTCAACCTTTTTCAGCTCCTGGCACACATAAACTAATTACTAAAATTTTGGGCCACACCAAAAATTATATTTTTGCCGATCTGACAAAAAAAATGTATAATTTTGATTTACTCACACTGACGGCTGTTGTTGTGTTTGCTGTTGTCATTTTATTATTTGACAATCTAAGTAAAAAGTCATCAGTGCCCCTGACTAAACAGTCAGGTATTGCATGTTTTAAAACTTCTTGCAGCACACCGGTTGAAAATCACTGCACTAGAGGGAATAGATTTACAGAGAGCCAGCTATTCTTTTTCACGCTGTCTTCCTTAAGCTCATTTTCCAAAATCTCTTTGGGACTTGATCCAGTTTTCAGTTATGCGCACAATTGCTCTCATTGGCCTTGACCTCACTGACTTACCATTGAACCAGTGGTGATAATTATACACACTAATAGTGCGTCAAGATAACTAATCTCCTTGGGCAGCCAAAATATATGATCATCATTTTCTGCCGTCAAGATTGCTGGTTTCTCTTACCCTGTGGCCCTACCCTGGGAATGTAGTCATCATAAGCCATCAGCTTCAACAAAAAATGTGCTGATACACCAGGACCTTTCCTCCACCCTCCATTTGTCAATGAGGGTCAGTATCTTTCTTATCTCCTACCTCCAAAAGCCATGCTAATTAACCCACGTGGGAAAATACACTGAACAACCACACTGAACAACCTGGATTTGTTTTTATCAATCATGTTGCTCATAGTATAATACACTACCTGATATCTCAACCTAAAAGGTAAAACTGTGACTGCCTATTAAATTCTAGGGCAGCGGTTCTCAACCTTTGGGGGTCGACCGACCCTTCCACAGGGGTAGCCTAAGACCATCGGAAAACACATATATAATTACATATTGTTTACAGTAGCAAAATTACAGTTATGAAGTAGCAACGAAAATAATTTTATGGTTGGGGGTCACCACAACATGAGGAACTGTATTAAAGGGTCGCGGCATTAGGAAGGTTGAGAACCACTATTCTAAGGTATAAAATCATCTATGGCAAGAGTAAATGGAGCATATAACCTTTTTACAAAACATTAAACAAAGCATTTCTTGTATGTAATTAATGCATTCTTTAGTATAAGTTTCTTTGGATTTAAGCGATTGAAATGTGCCTAAGTTTCTATGTTCAGTGTGCCTTGCTGACTGTCTGTAATGTTCTCTTGCAGGCATCTCCATAACAATAGAATCCACTCTCTGGGAAAGAAATGCTTTGATGGGCTCCACAGCCTAGAGACTTTGTGAGTTGACCTTTTATTTGTTTCCCCTTTTTTCAGTGTTTTCCTGAGTATTCTGAAGGAATCAAAACAGCCTTAAAGTCAAGATTGCTGTTTGGTTTGGTTAATTGCCTGAGCTTTAAACAGATATTCACTGAGGCTTCATCTTACACACAAACACACACCTGGCAAAGCTAAACAAGATTTTATCTTGATCTAACAAGAGTGATAAATTAGTTAGAATCATTATAAGCTAAAGGAGATGCTTTCCACTGAGCAGAGACTATGTGTTTGGTAATGTGTATTCTGTCGAGAATAAGGACGAAAGGGGGCTAAGAGGGGGAAGGGGAATGAGAGATATCTGTAATACTATCAACAATAAAAAATACATTTTAAAAAAAGAATAAATTCTATATTGTCCAGGATGCAGACCAGGCTGCACTCTGAGATGAACAGGTGTCTCATTAGGAAACAGCAGGGTTCATGCTAAAAGCAAATCTAAAGACTAACAAGTTATGGTGGCTACCATGTATTGAGTATATTCAGGGGTGGGCAAACTTTTTGACTCGAGGGCCACAATGGGTTCTTAAACTGGACCGGAGGGCCGGAACAAAAGCATGGATGGAGGGTTTGTGTGAATGAATATAAATTCAAAGTAAACATCATTACATAAAAGGGTACGGTCTTTTTTTTTTTTTTAGTTTTATTCATTTCAAACGGGCCTGATCCGGCCCGTGGGCCGTAGTTTCTCCACGGCTGGATATCCATAGTCAAATATGGCACTGGACATTTGGCACACTTTCAATTAATCTACAACTATCCTGTGAAAGCAGACATTGCTCTCCCATCTTAGGTCCAGTGCTATTAAGGATTTTACCGACATTACATAGCTGGTCAATAGCATAACTGGGATTTGCTTCCTTCTCTAGTTCGACTTCAAAATCCACGTTCACTACTACATTCTACTTCCAAAGAAAAAGTCAAAAAATTTAGTTTTGCGTTGTTACCTATAATGAAACTAGAGCCCGGCCAGCTGACTGTAGCCTAGAGTGTATCCCAAACCACTTGGAGAAGGGCTTCCTATGGGCCACACACCCTGGCTGAGCCCTTCCCCGGGTGAGGAGTGCTCTTCATTGCCCTGTGGAGTGCGAGAGCCATAGTGAAGGTGGGGTGACAGGCAGAGCAGGTTCTGAGTGTGCCGGGAGAGGAGGGTGGTTCCAGCTGTGCCCCAGCTCAAACCTTCATGTTTTTACTACTCAAGCACAAGAAACCACACAGGGCCACTGAATCGACGATGCTGGCTGTGACAGGACTGCAGAAGGGGCTAACCAGAGACCACCTCTGCCGTGGCCTTGGAGCCCCTTATTCATTTGCATACAGAGCTTATCAATTTGCACAGGATCAATTTAACTTCCAACCAGCTCTGCATCCACCGATTTCCTTCCAGACCATCTATTGTTCGTGGTCTTCTTGAGGCCGATCAGCACTAACAGCTCTCCTTCCCGGGTTACTTAAGTCACTCTGTGTTTCCTCCTAGAAGGGAGGAATCGTCCTCATAAGGAGATGCCAAAGATGAACTTGTCCAGGCAGGATTTTGATGTCAACTCAATGGCACAGGCAAGCAGTTTCCATGGTGCTAGGAAAAATTAGAACTTCTTCCTTATCTACACAAAGCTGGCTGGGGGATCTTAGCAATGGAAAGCACCTTCGGTCCTTTTCAACTCAACAGGAACAAAAACAAGATGCGCTCTGATGGGTATTTCCGTAAATAGTCTCCCCCCACCCCCTAACCCCTCATGTTTAGGTGAGGACCCAGGATTGCATATAAATACCATAGAATAAAACATTTTAGGAGAAACTCCTGCGAGTCTTATTGACCCCCCTCCCCTCCCCTTGCCCATAGCTGAGGATCAGTCAATTGGTTACTCCCAATGTCCTCCTTTCTCTCACTAGAAATCCAAGTAATTTATAAGGACCCAATACTTTTTTAATCAAAACAGAGCATCTGGAGAGATTTACAAACAGGAAGAAAATTTATGTCCACAAAAGACCCAAGTTTCCTGCCTGCAGTATAGCTTAACGATGGTTTGTGTCAGACAAGTAGGAATCTAGATTCATGTCTAACTCAGTTAAATTATCTCTCTCTTAAAATTAAATAGCAGTTCTTTTCCACAGAGGAAGACCTAACCACATCTGATTGCCTGACCAAAAGGTTTTTCTGTGTCATCTGGGAAATCTGCCATTCCCAGAGACCAGCAGGCAATTACTTTTTCATACAAAGATGTAGCTATAAGGTGGAGTAAATCTATAAAGCCCGTCTGAGTAATGGAATTGAAAAGCCATTTGTGTCATAACAAATAGGGAAATTAATGATTTGAGATTGTTTGGCTATCCCATCTCTGTGCATGAAAAATAATACAGAGCTTTGCCTCACCGACCAACGAAAACATCATACTCCTGATCTGAATCACTATTTGTGTCCCTGAGAAAAGTCTAGACCTAATGTGCTTCCTGAGAGGACCCTGCACATATAAACCTCTCCAGAAGCGGGTTGTCATGCGGACCTCAGGCTGTGAGGGACACAGGCACTCCACAGGAGCCAGGGACAAAGCCGCTCTCCAAGAGGGCCTCTCAGGCGAGACTCTAAGAAGCAGGGGGAAGAAGAGAATGGAGGAGGCAACAAGAAAGGGCATGTGACTCAGGAGCCCAGAGTAGTGCCCGGACAATCTGGCAGCTGAGTGAGCTAAGCTCAGGTGAAGAGCCACATTAGCAAGCTTTTAACACTTGGCCAAGCATCCCTCCTACTTGGACACTGACACGGCTCTCTGTGCCCTCCCTTTTTTGAAATGCCCCTGTGCCATTGAGACTTGACTCATTGAAATTTCTCATGATCAATCTAATGGCCATTTTAATGCAGAGACTTGTGGAATGGTGGTGATCAGCAAGCCAAACAAACCTCTCTCCCTAAAGAGAAGGAATGAGCCCTGGTTGGTGTTGCTCGGTGGTAGGAGCGTTAGCCTGGGAACCTAAGGGGTCTCGGGTTTGATTCCAGTCAAGGGCATGTAATTGAGTTGTGGGTTCGCTCCCCGTCCTGGTTGGGGCACCTGTAGGAGGCAACCATGTGTCTCTCATGTCGATCTCTCTCTCTTTCTCTCCCCTCTCCCCATCCCTCCATTAGACTTCTCTGAAAAAGCAATAGAAAAAATATCCTCAGGTAAAGATTAAATAGAGAAGGAATGAGAATTTTCATCACTGATACTGGTCCATTGAAATAACATGTTAACTGCCCTGACCGGTTTGGCTCAGTGGATAGAGCGTCGGCCTGTGGACTCAAGGGTCCCAGGTTCGATTCCGGTCAAGGGCATGTACCTTGGTTGCGGGCACATCCCCAGTAGGGGGTGTGCAGGAAGCAGCTGACCGATGTTTCTAACTCTCTATCCCTCTCCCTTCCTCTCTGTAAAAATCAATAAAATATATTTTTTTAAAAAAGAAATAACATGTTAACTTTCCTAGTAAATGTAATATATATGAATCTGAAAATGAAAAACTAAAAATACTATTTACTTACTTTCAGAGATTTAAATTATAATAACCTTGATGAATTCCCCACTGCAATCAGGACACTCTCCAACCTTAAAGAACTGTAAGTATTTAGGACAGATTTAATGGGAGATTCTATTCTTGGTTAATTTATTTTTTTTAAATGTGACTTATAGGAAAAATATTTTAATTCATCTAAATGACAGTTAAGTACACTTGAAATATACTGTAATTGATTCTATCATCAGCAAACATCAAATAATCTTTTAAAATTTATAATGGATTTCTAATATATGTATATTAGAAAAAATATATACATATTTCTCTAAGCCGTACTTCTTTCCTAAGACATGTTTCCCAAATATTTATACACTTTATAGATTTGTGCAGAACTGTAATGGAATTCAGTTATTTGCTGAGCATTTTGAAAAACATTTCTAAGTTGCATGGCAACCTAAAATAAAATGCATGTGCCTAGTGCAGTGCTAGATGCTTTCACATACATTATTTCACATTCTTTTTTTAAAATTAAATCTTTATTGTTCAGATTATTACAGTTGTTCCTCTTTTTTCCCCCCATAGCTCCCCTCCACCCAGTTCCCACCCCACCCCCTGCCCTTACCCCCGCCCTCACTGCCCTCTTCCATAGGTGTACAATTTTTGTCCAGTTTCTTCCCGCATCCCCCACACCCCTTCCCACCCCCACCCCCCGAGAATAGTCAGTCCACTCCCTTTCTATGCCCCTGATTCTATTATAATCACCAGTTTATTCTGTTCATCAGATTATTTATTCACTTGATTTTTAGATTCACTTGTTGATAGATGTGTATTTGTTGTTCATAATTTGTATCTGTACCTTTTTCTTCTTCCTCCTCTTCTTAAAGGATACCTTTCAGCATTTCATTTAATACTGGTTTGGTGGTGATTAACTCCTTTAGCTTTTCCTTATCTGTGAAGCTCTTTATCTGACCTTCAATTCTGAATGATAGCTTTGCTGGATTGTAGGTTCTTGGCATTCATCACTTTGAATATTTCTTGCCACTCCCTTCTGGCCTGCAAAGTTTCTGTTGAGAAATCAGCTGACAGTCATATGGGTACTCCCTTGTAGGTAACTGACTGTCTTACTCTTGCTGCTTTTAAGATTCTCTCTTTGTCTTTTGCCCTTGGCATTTTAATTATGATGTGTCTTGGTGTGGTCCTCTTTGGATTCCTTTTGTTTGGGTTCTCTGAGCTTCCTGGACTTGTAAGTCTATTTCTTTCACGAGGTAGGGGAAGTTTTCTGTCATTATTTCTTCAAATAGGTTTTCAATATCTTGCGCTCTCTCTTCTTCTGGCACCCCTATAATTTGGATGTTGGTACGCTTGAAGTTGTCCCAGAGGCTCCTTACACTATCTTCATATTTTTGGATTCTTTTTTTCTTTTTTCTTTTCCAGTTGGGTGTTTTTTGCTTCTTCGTATTTCAGATCGTTGACTTGATTCTTGCAATCCTCTAGTCTGCTGTTGGAAGTCTGTATAATATTCTTTATTTCAGTCAGTGTATGCTTAATTTCTAGTTGGTCCTTTTTCACAACCTCAAGGGTCTCACTAGACTTATTGAGGATCTCATTAAATTTATCGGCGGTCTCACTAGATTTCTTGAGTGTCTCACTGAGTTTATCGGCGGTTTCTGGAAAGTTCTTGAAAAACCTTAAAAGTGTAGTTTTGAACTCTATATCCAGTAGTTTGCTTTCCTTCATTTCTGCCATTTGTGACCTGTTTCTTTGTCTCCACATTTTTTATGCTTCCCTGTGTTGATAGAGTGGCTTTCTGTGCTAGGTGTCCTATAGCACCCAGTGGCTCAGCCTCCCCAATTACCTGAGGTGGACACTATTGGTGCACCCCCTTGTGGGCTGTGTGCACAGTCTTGTTGTAGTTAAGCCTTGATTGTTGTAGGTATCACTGGGAGGAATTGACCTCCAGGCCAATTGGCTGTGAGAATCAGCTGTGTCTGCAGTGGGAGAACTTCTGTGCTGGAGACACCCTTCTGGGGCAAGACTTGCTTCAGTGGGGCTTTGGTGCTCACTGAGTCTGCCCCCTGAGTGTGTCCCTTATGGATCTGAGGAGTTGTAATCTGGATGTGGTCAGAGTGTACCCACTCTGACCACTGGGTACACTGGCTCTTGGATCGCTAAGGAGGTGCTAGTCTAGCCTCTTCCTGAGGCTACCCAGCAGGAGCTCAGCTGTGAAGGAATGCAAGCTGCTGTGGGGCCTTGGGCCAGCTTCAGTTGGTTAGGTAATTTTCAGATTACAAAGGGCCAGGCCTTTCATATGCAAGAGCCTCTACGCACAGCTTGGGCAGGCTGGGGTCCCAGGGGATCAACAGGGCGGAGCAAGCAGCTATGGCTGCTCCTCAGTCCTGCCCTAAGAGGCCCCGCTTCTCAGTGTCCCGGTAATCGCTGCAAGCACCTCTGAGAGAAAGCCGCCCTCGAGGTCCAACCGATGCCAGACAGTCTAGCCTCTCCCCGTATGAGTCTGGGTCCCCAGAGACTCACCCAGAACTGGAGTTCAGAGCAGTTGGGAGCTTGAGACTCCCTCCCGATTGAAAAAGACAACCATGTTCTCAGCCGCCAGCCCTTTCCGCGTGCGCCTCCATACCTCTGCACTTTACTTCCGCACCTCCTCTGAGTCTCAGTGTGCTTTTCTCTTTCCTTCCAGTTGTAGAATTTCCACTCAGCCAGCCTTCCTGTGGTTCTGGATGATGTCTGTTTTATCTTTTAGTTGTATTTTTGAAGTGGTTGTGGGAGGCAGCAATTTCCGGTGTTTACCTATGCCACCATCTTGGTTTCTCCCTATTTCACATTCTTTAAATACTTCATGACTCTTATTTAATTTTAAAAAACACAATTTTACTAAAGTAGAGCTAACCTTCAGCTATTAGGTTGTATATATTCTTTTACATACTATAATTAGTTTTTCACTGTACCTAAAAAAAACTATGTAAGCAATGTGCTAACACTTGGAAAGGAAAATAAGCCTAGAACCCATTTTCCTGGCAGAGAGAAATAAGACACACAGCTAAAGGAGGTAGACAGCAAGGCTTGTTTATTAAAAAAAAAAAAAAAAAAAAAAAAAAAAAAACAACCTTCAGGAGGTTCTGCCTTGGGAAAACCCACTGTGGCCTAAGTGGGAAGTCATCATTGTCTATGGCGAGGCAGACCAACGACTGCCACTCATCTCATCCACAGGCCCACACAGGACCCAAAGACCTTCGACTTTGCCCCTCTGCCATTCAGACAACATTAGCATCAACACATGAGAATCAATTCGTTATTACAGACTCACTAAGCACCTTCCTTCAGCTCAGGAAATTCTGTTCTCATAAGGAGATTATTTAAATCTCTACCTCACTGCAGCTTAAGTCCATTTTCTCTTCTCCTAGTTTCAAATGGGGTCATGGTCTGTCTCCAAAGATGGTTCCCTCTGTCTCAAGTTGTTATACACAGTGCTCTATCAGATATTAACAGATGAATTTTCTTTAATAACACTAGATTGTAAGTTTCCATAAAGCACAATTATTATTTTCAGATTCTTTAATTTTCTTTCAAGATGACAGCCTGTGATTTCTTTTTCTCCTAGAGAGTGAGGGCATGTAAGTTTCAAATGCATAGAGGAATTTAACCTGAGTCTCTAGTTACTAACGGTGCTGGTAACTGCCATGGGGAGAGAAGGTGAGGACTAATAAATAAATTTATACCACACAGTATTTCCTATAATTTTTTTTCTTCTCTTTCTAGAGGATTTCACAGCAACAATATCAAGACAATACCTGAGAAAGCATTTGTAGGCAACCCTTCTCTTATTACAATGTAAGTGGCCATGCTTCTTTTTTATTTTTCCATCCTGAAATAGAGCATGCATTGCTTTTTTAAATATAATACAATAAATGGTCTATATGTGCCCAAGTTTTTTCTCAGTCAATGTAAGACTTAATACAGAGAAATATGTAGAGAGAGGTTTTGCCAGGTTTTAGCTAAATGCTGAAATAATATAAAAGATTTGTTTTTCTAAGACCTTCAATATGCATTGCATTATGCTTCATATCTTCAGATGCCTTTTCTCACTTTGCAATAATCTTGTGAAATGCTTTGCTTCTCTCTATTTTATAAGGAATAAAACTGATTTTTAAAATGAATCCAAGTGTACTAGAAATGTAAATTGTTATATACAAACTAGAGGCCCAGTGCACGAAATTGATGCATCCAGCCTGCACCCTCTCCAATCCAGGACCCCTCGGGGGATGTCCGACTTCCCTCTCACAATCCGGGAACGCTGGCTCCTAACTGCTCACCTGCCTGCCTGCCTGATTGCCCCTAACTGCCCTCCCTGCCAGCCTGCCCCCCCTGCTGGCCTGGTCGTCCCCAACTGTCCCCCCTGCCAGCCTGGGCGCCCCTAACTGCCCCCCCCACAGGCCTGGTCGCCCCTCACAGCCTGCTGCTCAGTTGTTTGGTCGTCCCTCACTAACCCCCCTGCTGGCCTGGTCACCCCATGCAGCCTGCTTGTTCAGTCATTTGGTTATCTCTCACTAACTTCCCTGCCAGCCTTGTCACCCCATGCAGCCTACTGGTTGTTACTGTTACTGTCACGGCATCCTGGACAATTTGCATATTCCTCTATTAGATAGAAGTCCTTTACAACAATAAACTCCAGCTAAGTTGATGGTGGAGAATGAGAATACTGTTTTATGCTGTCTGTATATCCACTGATTGTCATGAAGTCACATTTATACAATTACAAGCTAAGATGTAATTCTAGAAATATACATATGTTTTAGAAAGGTGTATATGAGGATTTAGGTACCATAAAAGCACAAGTTTTAACGAATAATTAATTCTACGTTTCACATTTACCACAGACATAAGATTGATCATATGTAGATATACAAGAAGATGAAAATATGTTAGTATTGGGCTGGCTCTTAGTTAAAAGATACCTGGCAGATTTGGGACATAGGATTGGACTGAGGTCATGGGTGAAGGTGAAACCAAAATGTGGTGTTCCGAGTCCAAGTTCGTTGTCTCACAGAACCAAGGAATGGATTCACGGACACAAACGATTAGCGGAGGCAAAGTTCATTGAGGGATAGACGGACTTCCTGCCGCAGGGGGCAGCAAGAAGGGGACCCAAAGCAGGTTACTGGTGAAGCTTCTTTGTCTCAGGTTCCGAAGTACCATGCCCCTTAAACCAGTCCTGGAAAAGGTGCGGCTGGTGTTCCAAAAGCAGGCCAGTGTCCAGAGCTTCTGTTCCATGTTGCAGCTGGGTGTAGCTCAGCATCTAAGCTAGCTAAAGTCCATCAGTCCATGTGTGCAGTCCCATATGGCCACAAGCCACATGGGCGCAGGGGAGTATATCCCCTGAGATAGGAGCCCAGTGCGCCAGAGAGAGAGAAGAGAGCGTGTGCTTCTTTGTCCAGGGGTAAATTCATGCTTGCTAGCTCCTGGTTGGTCCTTTTAAAAAATTCTGCCTTAGCAACATCCTTGGGATTGATTATACTCCTCACTGCCTTGTGATTGGCTATCTGCAAGTTGCCTGTCTTAGTAGCATCTACACATTTTAAAGCTCAGGTCTCCCTCGCACACCCTTCTTTCCCCACCTTGCTGCGTTCCCCGGTTCTAGGTCCTTTTGTTTTTTCTGAGGTGCGGTCAGCAAGCTGTATCCTGTTCACATCTGCAAGGTCCTGTTATTCTAGGACTTCCCACTCTCCTCCCTCTCCCCACGTCCTGTCCAAAGGTCCCGTCCCTGACTGCCTAGCCCTCCTGTCTCCTCAAGGCATCTTGAATTTGGAGGAAGAGAGTAAGGACAACTGTTGAACATGACTCTAGGGGCACTTCTTGGCAGAAATCCATCCTGTGCCAACTTGATTGAGAGGCATTCTGGGACTGCATACCATTTGTCACAAATGAGCTGGAGTCCCAATTAGCCCTGACAACTAAGGAAAAAAAAATACCATTCATCATTCCTGAAATGTTCTGACAGTATGTTGGAAAACTAAGGGTTTTAAAGTTTATTGCCAATAAACATTAGTCCTCATTAGAGAGTATTTACATAGTTAAGAGGTTGGCAACTTGCATTGCCTTTGCTTCTTTTTCCTAGCAGCTGCAGGACTGGGTATGTGTTTTTTAATTACTCTCTTGATATGCTGATACCACTTAAAGGGGACTAACAGCCCCCCAAATTATTAGTGCTCCTATCCAATACTTGATGTTGACTTAATCCCCCCTCTCCTTGCTTCTGCTTCTGTTTCCATCTCTTGTCATTGCCATCCCCACCCACGCCCCTTCCCGGATTCCCACTTTCTGTGAAGGCAAAGGCTTCCTGTATCTATTGGCTACTCAGACCTTATTTCTACCTATGCAGTCCCATCCTATGCCTAACTTCCCATCCAGCTACCCATCAGCCTCTCTGCTAGCAATTACCTCTAGATGTGCATCAGTCTAAGGCTCATCTCCCTGCCTATCCCACTGGTAGGGTCATCTCTCTTGAAACACAGCACCCATATTGTCACTCTCTTGCTGTGAAACATGCAGAAACTCGGGATTTTCTATTTACATTAAATGCACACTCCTTACCCTGACTTTCACAGCCTCCCATGTGGCCCAGGCCAACCCTCCTGATCAGTTCCCCAAAGCTCTACTCAATTACCCTACACATAGTCCAGACCAACTCAGCTAAATTCATAAAATGAATCTTTCCTTGTTTCCTTTGCTCCTATGATGCTATCTCCTCACTATACTTACTGAAATTTTGTTTTCCAGGGTCTATTTTAAATAACATTTTTATGAAATTTTTCCTGATCTCATGAGGGAACTCCCGTCTGAGAACCCTATAGCTCCTTATTTGTGTCAGTGATAACTCTGCCTAGGTATACAAGCATGTGTATCATATCTGCCCAGGGTACACATATATGAATATATAAGCGCATAGTGCAGATAAAGGATAATATAATATTATGAGGCAAATTCCATTTTTAGTCCCTTTTGTGTTATGATAAGATTTGACCAGAGGATAGACTCTTCATGTAACATATAAAACTTCACCTTTCTTTAATTAATGCTACGCTTGCCAGCACCCTGAATTACCTTTCTGCCACTCACTAGAGTCCACAGATGTTGGAGGCACAGGGAAATTTTTAAGTAATAACAACAGTCAGTTCACTTTCTTTTCTCCTTAGTAACTATAATTCATATCTGCTGTCAGAAATTTTCTATCTTAAATAGTATGGATTTCTTACCAAAAGTCTCATCATATGAGTTAAAACACTTTTGAGGTTGCCTGAAACCACGTAATTGAGAATATTATATAATACCAGAGGTCTGGTGCATGGATTTGTGCACTGGTGGGGGTCCCTCAGCCTGACCTGCGCCCTCTTGCAATCCAGGACCCCTCGGGGGATGTCTACTTTGAGCATCTGCCCCCTGGTGGTCAGTGCCCATCATAGTGGCTGGTCAAACGGTTGTTTGGTTGTTCAGTCATTCGGTCGTTTAGGCTTTTAGATAGAGAGATAGTATAATTGAAATTACATAAAAACATTGAATGTACTGGTTGAAATTTGCCATTCAAGTTTTATACTAAGACATTGGTGTTTGGATTTTTTTTTCCAGACATTTCTATGATAACCCGATCCAGCTTGTTGGAAGATCCGCTTTTCAGCATTTACCTGAACTAAGAACACTGTAAGTTTTCCTCTGACATATCACTTTCCCCTTGTAGGGTTGCTGTAAAAACCAAATGTATATTATAAGTTGAAGTGCTTTGAAAATGGGAATAAAAATTACCCATTTTTATCTGGCCAGCATGACTCAGAGGTTGACCGTTGACCTATAAGCCAGGAGGTCACGGTTCGATTCACGGTCAGGTCACATGCCCAAGTTGCGGGCTCAATCCCCAAGGTGGGGCGTGCAGGAGGCAGCTGATCAATGATTTCTCTCATCATTGATGTTCCTATCTCTCTCCCTCTCCCTTACTCTTTGAAATCAATAAAAACATATTTTTTAAAAAGATATATTTAAAAATTTTTTAATTATCCATTTTTCTCTTCTCCCAATAATTCTCATGTGTCCCTCCTTCTAGGACTTTGAACGGTGCCTCACAAATCACTGAGTTTCCTGATTTGAGTGGAACCGGGAGCCTGGAGAGCCTGTGAGTACTTGAGAAGGCTCTTGACTTTGACCAGAACAGGCACTGCTTTTAAAGCCCAACCAGTCTGAATGCCAGCGAATCAAAATATGTCCGTGTGATGCCTGAATAAAAGACCTATGTCTGGTTTTGTGTTTCAACAGGACTTTAACTGGAGCACAGATCTCATCTCTTCCTCAAACCGTGTGTGATCAGTTACCTAATCTCCAAATGCTGTGCGTATCAGTAAGGCAATAACGCCCTGTGAACAGGCAGCTGCCATCTAGGGGTGAAGTGTCAGACATTATTTCAAAAATCCTTTAAAAGGGGAGAAACTCCTTTCCTTGCTCTTCTCCAGGAGGTCAGGCCTCCTTTGCCCGCCGTGGGCCAGGGAAGCGGCTCTCTGACAGGACCCTGGTAATGATGGCAGTACACCGTGTTTCCAAACCCCAAACGTCTCCCACTGGAGTCCAACTGGCACACATTTCCTTTAAGAAAATGGATATGAACAAGCCCAAATAACTTCCTTTCCCCTCTAAAGGCTTTTCAGAGCAGAAATAAATAGATTAAAAACCCACTATGGATGCCAAAATAAAAAATTAAGCTATCGGATGCACACAGACCTTGATAAAGGCAACCAAACATTCTTCCGGTATAGTTGTGGGTGCCATGTTCTAATGTTTCCTCTAATGGTTAAACTGTTTGCATATGTTATTTCCGTTGGCTTGGAGCTTTTTGCTCTGCCTTTCTTATATTTTATGAAAAGTCGTTTATAGGAACTTGAAGAGCTTTGTTTTGACCTTCCATTCTCAGCCCTCTCCCTCAATCCCACTCAACCCTATTATCGTCCTCTCAAGCATTGTTGGGACTTAGTGAAAGGGCCCTTCATCTTTTGCCATGGTTCTGTTCTCACGCAGTAGACATCTGCGGCCATTGAATGCCTGTAATTCCACCATAGGCTTTGCCTAGTAGCAGCGCCACAAGCAGCACTACAGATGTTAAGTGGAGGAATGGGAATGTCTGCCGTGGTGGTTCTACCTTCCCCCATTCCCAGCCTGCATGTCACTCCAGGCCACAGTTGCTCAATGTATGGAGTAGCAATAACACCATGTGATAGCCTTGGAGTCGAGCATTTATGTTTGAAGGAAAGGGACAGAGCTGGTCTCCACTTATTCACCCCACATTGCCCTAGAGAGATACAAATGAGAAAACTGAGAATTAGGAAACTTAAGTGCAAGAAAGTAGCAGAGTCCAAATTTTAAACACAAGCAGTTTCATTGAATAACTAGGCAAAAGTGTATGTACAGCAGGTGGTGGAAATCATGGAGCCATCTTAGAATTCTCCCTACCACCTACAGAATAGGTATAATTATCCTCATTTCTTGAGGAAACTGGATCAATACCATGACAAGAATTTCACATCCTATAATTAATAAGTTTGGAGCCAGTATTTAAATTTCATCTGTTGCCTGGCTGGTGTTGCTCAGTGGTTGAGCATTGACCTATGAATCAGGAGGTCACAGTTCCATTCCAGGCCAGGCCACATGCCGGGGTTGCAGGCTCAATCCCCAGTAGGGGGCATGCAGGAGGCACCAGATCAATGATTCTCTCTCATCGTTGATGTTTCTATTTTTCCCGCTCCCTTCCTCTTTGAAATCAATAAAAATATATTTTAAAATATTAATAATAATAAATTGCATCTGTCTCCACTATATCACACAGTAAATAGTAAACCACCCAGGTCTAAAACTGCATAAATGGAGGCTGACTGACAAATTGGTTATGCACAGACTCTGGGGTCTGTTTTTCTGGTTCAAGTCCAGTCTCTCTCTATACCAGCACAGTATCTTGAACAACTTGTTTATTCCTTCTCAGTTCTGTTTCCTAATCTATAAAGTAGAGGTGCAATTACTTTCTTCAGAGGATCATCATGAGGCTTAAATACCAGCCCCAGGAATATTGCAAACTCTCAGGCAGTGTTAACTCATCATCTTGTTTTTCACTTCCATTATTCTTTCCTCAAGCTGAAACTAGAAAGGCTTGAAAATACACAAATACCTTAATAGCAGTATCTTGCCATTTTCAAAGCACTTCAACCTACAATATTGATTTGTTCTTCCCAACAACTCTGCAATATCAGCAAAGCCGGCATCTTCTCACGTAAGGAGAGAACTGAGAAAGATATCAATGCTCTGGCCAGTGTATCAACCAAGTAGAATGAGTTGAAGTTGAGAACAGAATTCAGAATCCTGACCTCTACTACAGTCTACTTTAGGTTCTAGAAGCAGAGGTCTGAGAGCAACCCTCTTAAGCTGAATCATCCATGGGTCCTTGTTACATGAGGAAATTTAACTGCACTTGAGTGGTTTTGCCCCCAACTTGTTTCACCTCCAAGAGAATTACTTGGTTGTGTGTGGCTTTCCCTGCTTAGTAGCTGGTGATCTTAAGCAAGTCATTTCACATTGTATGGGGATCATCACAGTGTCTCTCTCATAGACTGACCACAGGATTAAAAGAAAAAGTTCAGGTTGAGCTGTAAACATGGTATCTACATGTAAGAAGTGCTTGGTCAATGTTAACCTGAAAATCATTAGGTAGAAGTTAGGTAGGAGGTGATACTGTGTCTTTTATGTAGAAGAGGATTTTATGTACCCTCTACTAAGAGGTACACAGGAAGGATTTGTCCCCTTGAAGTCTGTGAAGATTAGTGAACCAAATTACTATCAGCTTTGATAACATGTGTGTCCATTTTATTTCACTCACTTTTCAAAATTACATACCCTACTGTTAGTCAGGTATACTTGTGTATAGGTGGGAAGTATGGTTTTGCTATTTTGTTTTTGATTCGGGTTGATCTTTGAAACCTCTACTATAAACTACAAATTTGTGTTTGCAAACAGCTTTATCTGAACTATTTATGTGTAGGAAATGAATTGTATTTCTATATAAATTACATTTATCCAATAAATGTAGAATAAAGTGATCAATTAAAGAATAAAATAACTTAAGAGCCTCTTAGTTTTAGTTGCATAGTGGGGATCTAGTTTTAAGAATTAAAATCAGGCATAAAAACGTGTTAGCTGATTAGCTGATAACTTCTAAAATATGAGACAAAATTTTTTACATATATATCTATGTTACTTTATCTACCAGATTTCTTTTTCTAAGCTTTCTGCAAATTACCATGGCTTGTTTTAGATTAGTTATATTTTACTCTAAATATATCCAGATGGTTTTGTTATTCTGTAATTTGTTGAGTTTTGGCTGAAGACTTTCTTAGATTTCCACCCCTCCCTTTCTCGTAGTGATTGATTTCCAAGTTAATGCTATGTTTTGAATTGTTGTTGGGGTTTTATTTTAGTTAATTAGAAAAGAACCAACAGTGATTCTTTTAGCTGTAGATAGCAGCTCTTAGAAACAGAGGCACAATTATTTAATTTGATTTGTACTCATTTCAGTAAGATAATAGCTAGAACATTGTAGATCATCACTAACAAAATATAAATATATTCATTAAGTAAATTATTTAAGTCAATTAAAGAAGTATAACCGTTACATTTTAGTAAACATTTGAATCTTCTGCTTAATCCAATAACGGTGGCTACCTGCTCCATGTCAGACTGGAGAAATGTTCAGTGTCGGCCTTTAGGAGATATATCATCTCAAAGGGGAAAGGGGAATGTTTCCTTACGATTAATATGTAACAGATTTTTTTCCCTTTTCTACCTTCTGTTTTTCAGAGATCTATCTTACAACCTGTTGGAGGATTTACCCAGTTTTTCAGTCTGCCAAAAGCTTCAGAAAATGTACGTCTATAGAGTCTCTAAGTCACCTAGCCAAAAATATGAACCCAAACTCACATATCCAGAACTCATTGACTTGCTTGGGTCACTGGAGAGACATTTCACGTATGTTCCCTTCTTACACACACAACATGACTGTATGAGATAGCTATAAAGTTTGGAAATGCAGATAATACTATTTTACCATGCATTGTATGGTAAGTAAACTATTTATTATTTCCTTTTCCCTCCCTCCCCTGCCCCCCTGAACTTGATGTAATAATGAAGTCCATTTGTTTGAGCTTTGGCATTTCGCTAAACTTACATATCCAATAAGTGGTATGTGTTTTTTTAATATGGGGGACTTGAGTTTGTTGGTATGTTTGTTTCACAATAGTCATCTTTAGGGGAGGTGCCATATTTGTCATATTTGAGGTGCCACTGGTGCTACTTACACATGAAACATTTTAGAAGTCCTTTCTTAAAATTGCCACTTCCATAAAACATCAGCTTATTGCTTTATACTCATACTTTGGTTTTGATCAAAATAATATTAACCATCTATCCTTTCCCACTTAATTTTTCTCTGGAAGCCTTTGGAAAATTAAGGGAGAAAGAAATAAATAATCTATGTTTGAAAGGCAGATTTGAAACTCCTGAAGACCCTAAAATACAAGAAAGGCTCAGAAGGCAGAGCCAGGAGAGGCATTCTCAAAGTATTAAATGAAGATGGCATTTGGGATATAGTTTTATGTTCACCCAAAAGAATTAGCTGCTTTGAAAGAGAGACAAACAATACTTGTTTAAGTGTATAAATTACAATGTTCTTTTTTAACCAAAAAAAATTTTTTAAGTCACTTGATAGTCAATTTCATGTGTTTCTTTGATTGAGGGCAGGTATTCCCTCTGTAAATGTTCTCAGAAGACTAGTCTTTGAAACCAGTGACTTTGAAATCAATTTTTGGACCTCTGTCATTTCAGAGACCTGCGACATAACGAAATCTATGAAATTAAGGTTGACACTTTCCAGCAGTTGCTTAGCCTCCGATCTCTGTGAGTATTGCCTCCCAGCACCTTCCCCATCATAGAGCACTTTCTTTCTTTCTTGGGTTTTTCTTTAATAATTTATTTTCCCTGTATATGCATATTGTGGGCATATATTTGCTATGAAAAGGCAAATATTTTGCTAGTCGTCATTTCCAGAAATAAATTCAGAAGTTGCAAATTTGCAATCTGCTCTCTGCCAGTCAGCAGATCTGAAACTTTGGTTAAGAGGAAGGAGGCCGCTCTGTGAATAACTGACAAAATGTGTTTCTGTTTATGGCCTGGAATTGTCAGGGATTGTTTTGTATACAAAGATGAAATGACCACACAATTCTTCCTGCCCATTTATTCTTTGGTAGTTAAACAGTTTTTCTTTCTTTTTTTTAATTATATTTTTATTTTGCAATTACAGTTGACATACATTATTTTATTAGTTTCAAGTGTACACCCCAGTGAGTAGACATTATACAACTTACTAAGTGATTATCCTGATAAATGCCATACCCATCTGACACCATACATACTTATTACAATATTATTGACTATATTCCCTGTGCTGTACTTTACTCCCATGGCTATTCTGTAACAACCAATTTGTACTTAATTCCTTCACCTTTTTCAACCACTCTCTCAAGTGCCTGCCCATCTAGCAACTGTCGAAATGTTCTTGTATCTATGAGTCCTTTTCTGTTCTGCTTATTCATTTATTTTGTTTTTTAGATTCAATTGTTGATAGATATTTATTGCCATTTTATTGTTCATATTCTTTATTGGTTTTTCTTCTTAAAAAAGACCCTTTAACATTTCATGTAATATTGGTTTGGTGGTGATGAACTCCTGTAGCTTTTTCCTGCCTGGGAAGCTCTTTATCTGTCCTTCGATTCTAAATGATAGCTTTGCTAGGTAGAGTAATCTTGGTTGTAGGTCCTTGCTTTTTTCATCACTTTGAATATATCTTGCCACTCCCTTCTAGCCTGCAAAGTTTCTGTTGAGAAACTAGCTGACAATCATATGGGTGCTCCCTTGTAGGTAACTGCTTTTCTCTTGCTGCTTTTAAGATTCTCTCTTTGTTTTTAACCTTTGGAATTTTAATTATGATGTGTCTTGTTGTGGGCCTCTTTTTTTATTTAAGTAAATTTTTCTTTCTTTTTTTAATTCTTTATTGTTTGAAATATTACATATAGTATTACACATGTCTTCTTTTTCCTCCATTGAGCTCTCCTCAGCCACCCCCAACCCCCCACTCATGCCCTCACCCCCCTATTGTCTGTGTCCATTGGTTATGCTTATATGCATGCATACAAGTCCTTTGGTTGATCTCTTACCCACCCCCCTCCCCTGCCTTCCCTCTGAAATTTGACTGTCTGTTTGATGCTTCTCTGTCTCTGGATCTATTTATGTTCATCAGTTTATGTTGTTCATTATATTCCAGTGTGGGCCTCTTTGGGTTTATTTTATTTGGGACTTTACACTTCCTGGACTTGTATGTCTATTTCATTCACCAAGTTGGGGAAGTTTTCCGCCATTATTTTTTCAAATAGGTATTCAAGTTCTTTCTCTCTCTATTCTCCTTCCAACACTCTCATGATACAAATGTTGTTTTGTTTGAAGCTGTCCCAGAGGCTCCTATACTATCTTCACTTTTTAAATTCTTTTTTCTTTTTACTGTTCTGATTGGGTATTTTTTGCTTCTTTATATTTCAAATCACTGATTTGATTCTCAGTTTCATCTACACTGCTGTTGAGTGCCTATGAATTATTTTTCATTTTAGTTGTGTATCCTTCATTTATCACTGATTCTTTTTTTATAGTTTCTTTTTTATAGTCCTTTTTATGCTGTTGAATTCTCCTAAATTCCTTGACGTTCTCACCAAGTTCCTTGAGCATCCTTATAACTGTGGTTTTGAACTCTGTATGTGGTAGTTTGCTTGCCTCCATTTCATTTAGTTCTTTTTTTTTTTTTTTGTGATTGCTCTTTCATTTGGCACCTGTTTCTCTGTCTCCACATTTTGTCTGCTTTCCTGTGTCTGTTTCTGTTCATTGTGTAGAGCTGATACATCTCCTGGAATTGGTAGAGTGGTTTTGTGTAGTAGATGTCCTGTAGGGCCCACTGGCACAGACTCCCCCATCACCTGGGCTGGCCACTCAGGGTGCACACCTGTGTAGGCTGTGTGTACTGACCTGTTGTAGTTGAGCCTTGATTGCTGTTGGAGTCACTGGGAGGGATTGACCCCAGGCTGATCAACTTCAAGGATCAGCAGCGACTACAGTGGATAAGCTGCTATACAGGAGTCTACCCTACAGAGCAGGGTAGAAGCTGAAAAGTAACATGATTCCATTTCTACTCAAGAAAGAATCTCTTTGAAGAATGAGATGAATGTGTAGAGACTAATGGTGGAAAGATTGTTTAGGAGGATGATATGATATCCAAGTGAATGATTCCATGGATCTGTGGTAGAAGAGTAGATGAAATGGAACTCACAGAGTTTAGTGAGTGACTGGAGGTGAGGTCTAAGGGGCAGGAGGAATTCGGGAGACTCAGACACGCAGCCTTTAGAGTCTGTGTCACATTCTTTTGGCATCTTTGAGAGGCAGTTGGGTAGAGGAGTGCTAAATTGCATTGTATATAAATAGAGGAGAGTGTATTAAGTTGGTGCTTATATAGTATAAAGAAAAATCGCAAAACAGATATATAAAGGAGAACTTGGTGAGGGTTATTGTCTAAGCCATGAAATTGGAATGATTGACTTTTTTCCCATTTTTACACTTTCATATACTCTCTGGTGAGATAATTATGTGACCCAATCTAACTCAACTTTAACAAAATAACCACTGTAATAAATTAAATCAGCTTTTGTTTGGGGTTGGAGAGATACCTCTATTTTAATATATCTTTCCCTAGGGACCTTCAGAAGTGGACCCAATTTTCAGTTTCTTATCTTCCCTCTTTAGGTTTCCCAGGAGCCTTGGCATGGTTAGAATTCTAGCCTTGACTTGTGTCTTGTTAACTATGTGGCATTTTGAGCTCCAGAGTCTTTATCAGTAACTTGAGTGGAATGTAGAAATGAATGTGAAAGCTCAGGGAAAGCTGAAAATCACATGTGAACTATGCATTATTAGTATTTGGGGGGGGGGGATGTCATCAGATTGGAAGCCATGGAAATAATAATAAGATCAGAAAGCTCTGGATATGGAAAGATAATGATGATATTCTATTAAAAGCTGATTGAGACCATAAAAACCTAAATTGTGATTTAGTTAGTTAGTTTGACATTTATTCATCCATTTACTTATTTAACAAATAATTACCGAATATCTTAAATGGGCATGGAGATCTGCTGGATGCTGGGGGTTAGAGAGCAAATATGCACACAGTCTTTGTCCTTGTACAGTTTAGTGAGTGATAAAAAATAATCAAAGAATCAAACTTCATAACTATGATAGATACTTTTAAGGAAAGGACTATATTATTATAAAAGTACATAAGAAAGATAAGAAAGGATTGGAGTGTTTGACCTGTTGAACAAGATCAGGGTCAAGGAAGTGGTGGTTGCTATTGGACTTGAAATATAGGAATTAGCAAGATACATAGAAGAGGAAGTAAGAGTATTCCAGGCCAAAGGATGACCATCTGCAAAAGTCCTAAGGCAGAGGAAGAATGACATGTTCAAAGACCTTAAAGAAGTCTAGAATATCTGAAAGGCAGGGCACAAAGAGAATGTGGGACATCAAATGAGGCTGAGAGACATGTAGGGTCCCGACAATGTGGCCATGGTAAAACTTCTGACCTTCATCCCAAGGACAGTGGGGAAGACATTGAAGGGCAATGATATAATAATGAGGATACTATATCCCAGCGATCAGGTGATATTTGGGCAGAGTTGGTCTTCATCATGCTTCAGATCAGCAAGTTGAATCCTCTATTTTCTATCATTATGTTTACAGAAAAGACTAACTTAATGTAAACTTTTCAATACAAAGAAGAATTTGTAAGTTTATGCCTAGAAGTGCATTAACAAAATGGCACTGTATATCATTCCAGGTAGCGTTTTAAAAAATCATCAGACTATGTCCATTTACTCAGTCAACAATGGTGGCTATTTTGCAGAAGTCATTAGGATAAAAACGAGCCAAATTTGGCTTTGAGTTACACCCACTAAATATTCATTTAAAAAATATATTGGTAAATCGAAGCAATTAAATTCCTACTTCAATTGAGAAGATAAATTTCAGTAAAATCCTAAAAGAACAAAAGAGAAAGCCTTATAGGTATCTAGAGAATATGTTTTGTGCAGTAGGGCCAGGAAAAGCAAAGGCCTGAGGTAGGAGTAGGCACAGGTGTTCAAGGAGCAGCAAAAAGGCCAGTGTGGCTGGAGCAGAGTATGTGAGCAGAAAACTGGCAGGAAATGTAGGAAGAAAGATAAGTGGGGAAGATGTAACAAGCCTCCTAGGATATCGTGAGGAATTTGACATTGACTCTGAGATAAGAGAACAACAGAGGGTTTTGGACAGAGAAATAATATCATCTGACTTTTATTTTAATAGGCTCCCTCTGGCAGCTGTGTTGAAAATAGACTGAAGAGAGACAAGGTTGAAAGCAGAGAGATAGATAGGAGGCCATTGCAATGGTCTGGGCAGAGAATGAGCAGGACCTGGGCCATGGTAGAAGCAGTGAAGAAGGTGAGAAATGGCCTCAGGCTTTGCTGACAAATTGAATGAATCAAGGATGCCTTCATGGTTTTTGTTCTGAAAACTAGAAGCATATAATGACTTTCTGAAAGAGGGAAGACTGTTGGAGAGAAATCTCAATTTTTAACATGTTGAGTTTGAAATGTCTGCTAGTCTCCACTGTGGAAAACTTTTTAAAAACTAAATATTGCCTGTCTGTCTTAACAAAAAAAAAAAAGTGATTGCTATACTGTTAACAAAGAGTCGGCCTCTTTCCTTGGTCTTAGCAAAGATTCTGACCATGCAGTCAGATTAAGTCATTCTCCTACTCAAAACTATCT